GGTTTAGGCTGGCCACGGGGGGGGGGAGAAAGCAGTTTTTGCCAAAGTTTTTTTGAGCAAGTCAGGGAGTTCCCTGAAAAAGGGTGGGTCGCTGCAGAGGGAATGAGAGCAGGGGAAAGAGGTTCCCGGAAACAACCTCCGACCACTGGGCATGGATTGGTTTCAAACGCTAGAATTGTTAGATTCATCGACATGACTTCGATCGAAGCCTGCAGAGGAGAAGGGACTAACACGTCTCGAAATTCTGCCTAATGCTTGTAGCATCGAGGCTGAGGACATCAAGGTTGTGCGCTCCTCGTCAATGCCTGAAGCCCATTTTTTCAATGACAGACGCGCAGCTTTCATGTCGTTGTCGATTCGCAAGTGCAGCCAGCCACTTGTGCAAGTGGTTCTGTGCCTGCCTTAGGAACTATTTGGCACTCTGTGCCACGGCTTTGAGTGTTTGCACCTAAGAGTCTCGGTCCATAGTCGCATGATGATGAGCTGCTTCAAGCCTGTAGCTTGCAGTTGCGTGGTGGCTTCACCTTTGAGGCCGCCGTGCTGGTTCGACGCAGTCCCCCAAAGTCGCGGCCGCGCGTTCGGATCCAGGTCAGGCCTTCCATGGTGGATACCGGTCGCAATCCCTTGCTACCAACCTCTCCTATCGCCACTTCCTCTGCGCTGCGTCCAGAAGTAAGTATGCAATTCTAAGAATGCTGTGCCGGACAGGCCTGCCAAAACTGTGCCACACCATCCATGCAGGCCAAGGCCAAGTGCGATATGCTGGCCAGCCCAGCTCTGCTCACTCCTGGATGCGTCATGTTGCAGGCCGGCACGACTCTTCCAATCTCAATCGACTCCATGGATTTCCTGGGAAGTTGGGTACTTAAGCTTGGCCAACCGGATGCCAGATTCTGTGATTCATGCCGTCAGCAGTGATACGTGTGATACGCGCTCGGCTGCTGTCGGATCGATCTTGCAAGGATGAGGGACGAGCACACAGAACCACACGGACACAAAACCATGCTGGACAACAGGATCATGTAGGGCTTCCCGCTGTAACTGCAAGCAAAGAGCCAGGCGGTTCCATGCTTTGAGCCATTGCAATGAGGGCTTGCATACTGAGTGTTCCTGCTGCTCCGCTGTATGGCAAACATGGCAGCAAGCCCGACGGTCGACGTGCTGTGCGATTTGGCTGGGGTACGGAAGTTTCGAAGATGTTGTTCAGGTTGAGGCATAGCTGCAGAAGGCGGAAGTCTAGAACTTTTGGGTTTCGTAACGGTTAGCGGCTCGTCGCAGTAGCGGCAAGAAGAAGGCAACTCTACAACTCTAACACACAGGAGGATGAGATGGGTCTCCAGAGTTGCTGTGCTGAGCGTCTCCAAAAGTGCAAAGCCTTTCCTGAATCTGCGACTTCTCCGAGGTGGTGCGTGTTTTGAGGCCTTGCGGCAAGGCAGATGATCGACATGTGGCTGTTGCTGTTGACGCTGCCTAAATAAGTACCGAGCAACCAACACGTTGCTTTTTGCTACACCCACTCCATGCCGATGGCTCCGGACGGAGCTCACATGCAATGTACGTGTCCAGCAGTTGCTTGAAGAGCCCCTGGTGGTATCCGTACAGTGAGCCCGTGTGTGCAAGGACGCACATGCAACAATCGACTGTTTTAGCTCTCTCGCCTTCATTCCAACATATTCTAGCCATTTCGCTAGCCGTCACTCCCGACCCTGTTGCGGGTACACCCATTTCCCAACACCTCCATCATTTCGGGGGTCACGGCCGTCACTGCAGTCGAGAAGGCTACCGATTTCGCGTAATGCTTTTCGGGGGACTGAGTGCCATGACAAACCAAAAGGTGGCCAAAGCAATGGAAGATGCTCAAGAGTCAAGATGTTGAGCTCCTGTAAGTTTACGAGCACCAACCCTTTCGTTCGTCATGCTAACAGCGAAAGCCAACAAAAAGGAGGGCCCCTGAGGACGAGGATGAGGGACTGAAAATTCGAGGCCGGCGACAGGCAGAGTCCCGTGCAGAGCACATCACAGCAAATCACTGGCAAGATCGACCAGCTGATGGCGAACACAATTCTTGCCGCTCTGTCCTCCCAGCGCTGCCGCCGTGGCCATAGCATGCCATGGCCCACGATGGAGCAAGAACATGCAGCTTTGTTGCTGCTTGGCGGTGCCTGGCACCTAGCGGGCCTGATCAACGGCTCCGAACAAGCGGACCTGATCAATGGCTCAGAACAAGTCTCAGGCCTCAGGCGTTAAGGCAGTGCAGCGCAGTTGTGCAATCGAGGCTTGGAAGTGCGTCAAGTCGAGAAGGACCCCCCAGAAACCTAGCAAGGTTTGCAAGCAGTGTTGGGGCTTGTCCACGCAGCGGTGAAGGTTCGTTGTGTAAGACAGTGGTCTCAGTACTTGGTGCATGTTGCAAAGACATGCTCATGCCTGCATGATTTCCAACACAATGCAAAAAATCCGATTCAGTTGCAGGCTTTAGCGATGCATTACATGTTTCGGAAAAGGCCAATCATGCAGGTCAGGATTCCATACAAGACCTCTGCCACCAAGTGCAGTTTGTGTGTGTGTGTGTGTTGCCTCAACAACATGCCACGGTCTTGTGCCGCCAAAGCTTCCGACCACAACAGGTTCCTGCAAATTCCTGTATCATGCTGTCGATGATTGATCGTGTCGCTGACAGGGTTGCCCGTGCGAGAGCAGCTACTCCTTCGTGCGACTTGTGCGACCACGAAAGCTTGTGGCCTGCCGAAAGGATGAAGCGACAGGAACTTCACAGGTTTGCTTTCACGTGCTTTCCGTGGTCTGCGCAAATGCAAACCAATGTGGGTGACATGGCTACGGAGTGCTACGATAAGATCCCGTCTTTTTGTGTGACCTCAGGTCTTTCTGACACCTCGGTCTTTTGGGACGAGGTCTTTGCTTCCCGAGCGAGCCGCGGCGCAAAGCGTGGGGTGCTCGCTCAATGGCTGGACTACAAAAGGCCTGCGGCCTGAGCATTGAAGATTTCAAGTGTGACGCAGCGTATCGCAGCGAGCCAAGTTCCAGGTGGTACCACCGTGCCGTCACGCAAAGCCGCGCGCTGCGGCTTCGGCGCCTTTTCGCTGCACTTCGTGGCCCGGTGCTTCCGCAACAGGCCTGAGCGGTGGGCATAGACATTGATGCCTTTACGCAGTTCGAATCAGGAGTCGGCGTGACTGTCTTTGAGCAACTGGCACTCTGCCAAATCGAATCTGGATGTGATTTTTTCCTGCGACGTCCCAGTTTCTGGACGCCGTGCGTGCTCGTCAGCGCCAAGCGGCCCAGCGCTGTTTGAAGGTAACTGGGCTTGTTGCAGGTCAGAGATGCATGGAGTCATGAGAAGTCCAACACGTTCGGTGCTGTGAGGCGAAGTCCACAGGCTCTGCAACACACACACCAGTCACACAGGGAACAGCTCCTGTGAACGTGATCGATCAAATCAAAAATCTCCACGAGCTCTGGACGTTCGGGACGAATGCTGTCTGATGTCCAACGTTTTTCGAAAATGATTTCGATCGAGGCGTGCCCTCAGACGGGAATCGAGTGCGTGCGTCACGGCAGGAGGGTTGACATGGCGAAAGACTCCAGGAGGTTGATGGAGGAACCGAGTCGCAACCAACGCCCCGGTGCTGGCGAACTGGGCGAGGCTATTGGTGCGAGGTGAGGCATAGTGAGGCCAAAAGCTGGAAGACCAGAACATGTGTCGGCTTATGTTGGCTTTAGGGATCATTGGAGCACCGCCATGCAGTTTGGTGTCCTGCATTGACTCAGGAGCTGCGTGCCCAGCGAGCAATTCGCCAAGATGCCGTTCGCAGGGCGCGATGGGGCAACATGCTGAGTGCTCGTGTTTGACTATGTTTGACTGCTGTGCCGCTCTGAAGCTGGCTGCAGAATGCTGGCGAGCAAGACACTTCGGACACATGTACCCAGTGTTCGAGAGAACTTGCAGTGCGGACGGCGAAGTATGCTGTAGGGCGATGTTGGGTGTCCTGCGTGTCGGGTGCGATTTCTAAAGTCCAACTTCTGAGCATTAGCAGTTCTTCGAGCTTCGGACCGCTGCCGACAGTCTGAGAGAGTTTATGTTTGGGTGCGATGTGCTGGTCGCCGGCGCAGGCTCTCTGCGCTCCGTCAGCTCTTGAGCTGCAGCGACAGTGAGCCTTAGCTTGCACGGGGCACTCGTGTTGATCACATGTTCGCAGATTGCTGCTGCGTCTGACACTTCGCATGTCCTCCCCTCCGGCCCATCCCCGCTGACCCGGTGGGATAACGGAATTCTGAAAGTCGTGTTTTCAACAACGTAAGGCCTACAGGCCCTTGCTTTGGCACCATTGGTGCGCCGGGCCTTCCAACAGCTTCGCAGCTGCCAGGGGCTAAGCCTACTGTGTTCTCAGGCGACTTGCGAAGATGTTCAGTATTAGTTCGATCGTCTTGGAATCTTTGGTGGAGAACCGTACAGCACCGTGATTTGCGGGCTCTCTGCCCGAACTGCCCGGAGAGATCCAAGCGTGATGTGACGATGCTCGTTGCAGGTTCAGCAGCTCTCTGAGGCCTGACATGGGTGCGATGCGCCCGATACATGCCGATACGGTGCGCTCATCATTGTGACAAAGTGTCGCCTAGCTCCCAGTGATGGTCAGGTCATGCAAGGCCACAGCGAGAATCATGTAACCTACTTAGTTGTGCTGGTAAGTGCTGGTACATGCGAAACCCTGCAAGGTCAGGCTGTTTCATCGTCAATTTCTCGGTGATACTTTTTGCAATTTCCTTGCACAAACCCACATCGGCCAGATCGTCAGGGTGAGCGAATTTTCCAGCCGTGCAGCAAAGGGTGAGCCAGGAACTGCGTGATAGAATGACAGAATCTGACATCTCCGACTGGTGTCGCAAGCCGTTGCACGCATAGAATTTCAACGTCGCCGCACATGCTGTCTCAAGCTGAAAGTTTGAAGATGGCAGTAGACAGAAGTGGCCTCCAGCAGATCGTAACTCAAACGCCAGATTGTTCAAAGGTGTGGCTGTCGAATGCACACGTTTGACGTGTCGGCTTGCTTGTTGGCTTTCCGTGCATGTCACGGTGCATGCTTCTGTTCCATACACTCCCCGAGTGCATGTGTGTATCATTGTAAGCTTCCGTCAGCGCTTTGTTGTGCGTGTGTGTGTGTGTGTCTGAGTGTATCGTATATTAGTGTGCTGTAATGTAATGTACTGGGATGGACCAGGATGGGATGGGATTGGATGTGATGTGATGTGATGCAATGTGATGACACGTGATGTGAGGCCTCGGTTCTGGCCTGTGGCCTCTTACCGCTCTTACCCCCTGCTGGCTGGCCCACCATACCGCACCGTACCACACGGCGCCGCACCACGAGCGAGCACAACACAACATACCATAAGACTGCGTGAAATCACATCACATAACAGCTCATAACGTAGCATGCATAGCGGCACATGAGGGGTAGGGGCAGGAGCAGGGACGGGGGCAGGGGCAGGGGGTTACGTCATGCATGGGCAACAGTATGGGAACTGTGGTAGTCTCCTTTATTCGTAGTGATACGGCTGCTAAGGAAGGAGCTTAGGGCACTGAGCAAAACCAGGAGCTTGTCCTTTCATACAGACCTCGCACATCAATGTCGGTCCACAAGGGGACGTCGTGGAGCCATAGAGGTTGGAGGATGGTGACGCGGTCGCTCAAGCGCAATCGATGAACTGCTTATTTCATCGTGCGAGGGAATAGGCTTCAACATCCACAAGGCTACACTGCGAGCATGTTATCACAGATATCACAGAAAGCTCGTGTACCATGAGCTTTCGCATACCCAGCTTTTGCTGATCAGTACAGCGGGTGTGGTTTGTCACGACGGGGGAGAGGCCACATTTTCAGCGCGAAAAGGGACGATGCTCCAGGCCGCAACACTTGGCCTGCATCGTCCGCTCTGCACCCTGCATCTTTCGCTTGTGAAACTAGCAGCTAGACATAGACGCAAGCTATTGCGTAAACTCAAGGTTTGGCACAGGCGCCACAGTGTCGCCCATGGTGCTTCTCTCGTGGGTGCAAAGCGGGGATTGCCTCCGTCTGGAGCAGTTGGCCGGTCCAGCACGAAAAGTCCATTGTGAGCTTCTGCCATGTTGCACAGCGATTGCTTGCAGGCGAGCTGTGGGCTGAATCGTTGTGTGAACCATTGTGAACACGCGCTTGAGGCTCGGAGGCTTCGCCCGAAAACGGCGAGGCAGTCACGGAGGCCGAATTGTCCTGCAGGGTTTTCAACGTTTTCAATGCAGAAGACTGAAGACCTCCTCCATTTCATTCCATGTCCTGCTTTACGGCTCGCTCGCCCAACCGCATGCAACAAGGAAGGCTGAAGTGAAGCGCCTTTGGAAGTCTTTCTTTTCTGTTGTTTAATGTTATCAGGATTTATCAGGTATCCGAGTAATTGTTCATGCTGCCGTGATCACGTGCAGGTGCCACCAGTTATCCTGCCTGCCGACGTAGGGTCTTTTGCCGAAGGCTGGTGGGAGTGTAAATGTTCTTGAAGCGAAATGTCGATTGACATCTGTTTCACGCGCTGTTCTGCAGAGCTGAGTCATGTGTTATCATGTGTTGGTGCCGCATGGTTCTGCAACCAGAACGGAGGGGACCGGCCGGGGCTGCTGATGCTCTTGATGCTGGTAAGCTGGAACGGAGACATTACAAGCGCACTCTGCCAGTCTGTGGGAGAAGCCTAGACAGCACGAATTGGTGCCAGAACCCATGTCTGGGGCTGTGTCGCAGGAGCTGTGGTCCCCGTCGCCCAAGCTCAGGCGGGCAAAACGAGCACCGCCAGCTCTGCTCTAGCCCGAAAAACAGGGACCCGTCACGGCCTTCCCTCTCGCCTCTCAGCAGTCTGAATGCGTATCAAGCAGCACCTTCAGGAGAAACGCCGTGCTGGTGATCATGACGGTCAACGAGTGGATCCGACGCCTTTGTTTGGCTTCCATGCGGTTTGTTTTTCACAATTTTTCACGCCACATGAGAGTCCTCTGCTGTGGCCGCCGTGCTGTCAACAGCAGGTTTGAGCAGCTTGTTCTGCTGACAGGCAAAAGATCGAAACTACCGCCGACAGGTATGATGCTGAGCTTAAGGGCCTTCGGTGCGGTGGACTTGTGCGACGCTGTCAGGGCTTGCGGATCCCTGGAGTCCGAGGTGGGCTCGCGGCTTCTCCCGCCGCTTGGCGCCGTACCCTTGGCCCTGTCCTTCGACCCGAGCCGGGCTCGGCACACAGTTCATCTGCGTTCTACGATGTTCTACGTTTGGGATTCCGTTTGCCTGTGCAAGTTCTGAGGTGCGCCTGAAGCTCCAGAGAGCAGTTCAGCACCGATTTGCCACTTCTGCGACTGGAAGGGAGGGAAAGGCCAGCGAAGCTCGGTGTCAGGTCAACGGCTCGCGGCCGTATGCGGCCGTTAGACGTTTCTTTCGGATTTGTTACAAGCCTGCTCCGCACAACGCTCGGATCATGTGGCAATCAAGCATGTTGCTGCTGCTGAGCTGATGGTCTTTGTTAAGCTGGAAACTGTAAGCGAGTGCCGCGGATCGATTCGCCCGGGCAGGCACGGTCACGATCCGAAGGCATGGACTGTGACTTGAGCTTCCTGGCAATTCCCGTTCGGCAAACGAGTTCTCACCCTGCTCGTATCACAGACTCTTGCGGTTTCTGGCCCCGAAACATTTTGCTCGGTGTTTTGCAAAGAAACGTCGGCTCACTCCATCATAGTGACACACCTATATGAGCACTGAAAGAAATGTCGGTCTTTACGTGCAAACATTCACCGTCCCAAGCGTGGCTGATCTCAGCTGCAGTTCGCGTCCACCTTGAGAGACGAGCAGCCCCCGAACTGCTGGCCATGATTCCCCGGAAGACTTGCAGCATCTCCACGGGCGACCCGCTCGGCCTTGCAAGTACCTGCAGCACTTCACATTGCATCAAGAGTGATTGAACTGCACAGCGAAGGACATTTTTTTTGTGTCCATCACTGTTGTTCTGTCGAAAGAAACCCATCACACATCACTCACATCAAGCACACCAGACGAGTCATACACATGACGCACATCACGCACAGGCGCGTGCACACACACGCACACACTTGACACACACACACACACAGAAATCACTCACACGCACACACCACTCACATCACACGCGCATCTCTCACACACAGAACATATGGTATGGTATGGTATGGTATGGTATGGTGTGGTGTAGTGTGGTGTGGTGTGGTATGGTATGGTATGGTATGTATGTATGTATTTATGTATGTATGTATGTATGTATGCATGCATGCATGCATGCATGCATGCATGTATGTATGTATGTATGTATGTATGTGTGTATGTATATATCATATACACATGTATAATTGTATGCATACATAAATTAATAAATAATAAATAACTATATATATATACACATACATATTCTAAGTACACACATGTTAGTCTTGTTCTGAATTTCTACATATACAAACGGTTGATGCATTTATGTAAGTAAGTAAGTATGTATTTATGCATGTATCTGTATGTACATACACATACATGCACGCAGATGACGGTTATGTATATACAAAGCAATTGAACATAACGTTTTGGTTTGTGGTATAATACGGTATAATGTAGTATAGTATAGCCTACCTTAGCGTAGTTTAGCAACAGAAAGTAGAGTTGAGTATAGTATATTGTAGCATAGCATAGCGTAGCAGAACGCAATACAACACAGCGGAACGAAGCAGAACATGCATTGACAGCACATCATATCAGCTCCTGCAACATAGCACGACATGATATAACATGCTACACCTACATTTCAGTACATGCTTGACTATACTATACTGTAGTCTAATGTATTAAAACTGTACTTTCTTACAGTGAAATTAATGTCATGCATGATATGAGAAGGTGTCGTGGTATGATATGATAAATGATGACATAACATGATATTACATGATGCAGTCTGAGATAGTATGAGATAGTATGATATACTATGACATTAATTGCTGCAACAATCTTGGTATAGTGTAACACAATACAGGGTTATTTAACATAACGCCACGTATCACAGCAAAGAAACTGTTGACGCCATATATGGTGATGGAATAGAGCAGACAATAGTCCAGCATGAGCTGATATGATATGACCTGATTTGATATCGTACAACATAGCATAGCCTAATGCGGTATAACATAGCATAGCTTAGCATAATGTCACATTACACAACACAGTATGGTAATATATTGTAATACGAAATAGCATAATAGAGTAGTTTCTGCGCTTTGATCCTTAAGCCATTTGGCCGGAGGTGATACCGCCTTTTTTCTTCGGCCGGACTCATGTCCTGGTCACCCTTCACTCACTCACTCACTCACTCACTCACTCACTCACTCACTCACTCACTCAGCATAATAGAGTAGGATATGAATATTCTAACGGCAGACTATGATATAGTAGAATATGAGATAACATTATAACATAGTACAATATTACAATATTATACTAGCTAAGTATAATGTTGTTTGATATAATCAATGCTGTCTCTCTCTCTCTCTCTCTTTCTTTTATTGCTCTATTTCCGAGTTTCCGTTGCATTTCTTAACTCTCTTACCCGATTACACCTGCGCACACTCTCTGTCTCTGTCTCCATCTCCCTCTGTCGCTGTCTCTCTCGCTCTCTCTCCCTCTGTCTCTTTCTGTCTCTCTCGCTCTCTCTGATGTACTTGCATGCTTTGTTGCTAAAGAAGTCCCCTCCATTTCCCCTTTGTGTGTCAGTTTCCACAGGTCGCTGCAACGAAGGTGGCTTGCAAACTTTCACTATCAATAGCACCACGCTCAGTTTGTCGGACAGCGCGTAGATCAAGTCCGTGCATCGATATGTCAGAGCAGTGCGATTGAGTTTGCCGCCTTTGAATGTTTCAAGGCATGGCAAGATCATACCTACATCGAAAAAGCGTGCGGGCACCCAGTCTCGCCGTAGCCGTAGTCCTTTCCGTGGCAATGACAGCTCCTTGATTCATGCAAAGTATCGCGAAGCCTGAGAAGTGCAGCTCTTGCACGAGGGCTGTTCTGAAGATGCTCCTCCGGAAGATGGCCAGAGCTGACCCCGACATTGACAGCAGATATCGCTCAGAATGAATCCTTGCCCTACCAGCCACGAATGGCTCGTGCGAACTTAGGCACTGCTAGCTGCAGCAATCACCCGGGACACAAACAGAGAAGGTCTAGCCAGCAGCATTCGAGTATTCCGTCCCGAAGCTTCCAGCCAGGACATTTGTTGCGGTAGGATCGTGCTCGCCAAGGGAGGTGCAGTACATTCTTGTCTTTGTACTCGGATCGACATCCAGCCACCGAAGGACGGCAGGAGAGAGAAGGACACCGACAGATGTACATTACTGATACTACTGGATGTATGTTACAACGGCAGCGAAAACAAGACTTCGCCGAACCACAAGCTCTCAATTCGGAGAACATCCAGGCAAGCGAGCAAAAACCTTTCCGAAGCTTCAGCAAATGAGTGGAACCCCGCCGAAACGCTCGAATCCCTAAACCAAGCGCACGCGTCCGACTCTTATCCAAGTTTTCTAGAGCGCATAAGGCGTCGTGACCAAGCACTGCGATGCCCCGAATTGCAAACCTGGAGCTTCTCACATTGCTGAGCTGAATTCAGGTGCCCCGAAACCGCATAATTCCAAACAGTCACCAACTCTCTTGCCACAGCGGAGCTGCCACAGCTGGCCGCAAATGGCAGCAATTACAGCGCTTGACCGCGGCCACAAAAATCCTGGGCTGCGGCCCTGGATCCAACATGCAGTTGGGAGGTTCCCCAAACACGAACGAGAGCACGCCAAGATGCACAGCTAGAGAAGGGCAAATGTAGGAAATGCTACATCTCTGCCCGATTGGGCCACCTGCTCGCAGCATGGTGGACACCAGCCAGCAAGCGGCTTTCCGAAGCAATGGGCAGGTAGGCAGAGTGCCTATTCCGCGATTTGGGCCTTGATGCTGGGGCTGCTGAGTGAACGGTGTAGATCAGGCTGAGACATGGAATTGACTATGTTGGCAGTGCCGGCATGCCATTCGATATCCGTTGATGCACACGGAGGGTCCATCTGCCTCAGACCCCGAAGCCAGGCTCGTTCCAGTCCCCAGGATGCTTTCAGAAGATGCCCGACCCTCGGAGCCTTGGGGTCTGTGCCGGGGCCTGTGCCGGAAGCTCCAGAGCCGAAGCCGAGTCCTTGCGCTGTGTCGCCCGCCTGAAGCGGTCGCCGCCGGGACCGACTGCGGGAGGCCGAAGCGAAGCGTGGCGTTGAGGTTAAGTCGGTCAAAAGGGTCAAGGGCCTTAGTGCTGCAGGTCCTGGCTTCGGACCCAGATGCTTCAGCCGCTGGCCCTTCAGAATAATCAGGCCGACATGGAGAATGGTACTGGCGGTTGTCCCACCCTGAAGCTTGCCGCTGGCGTCGTGCAGGGCTGGAGTTCATCTGCAAACTCCTGGAATGTTGCTGCTGAGGCAAGATCTTGGCTTCTCACTGAATCGGTTGCTTGCTTCACCAGCATCTGCCTGACCTGCCAGGTACTTTTCTGCCTTGGAAGCGATTGTTTGCCGTGGCTGTGAAAGGGCCGTTTCAATGCCCGGCATGCAGCCAGCTGCTTTTGCGATGCTGGGAACCCTCATCACGACATGGATCTTCACATGATAGAGTCGGAAAGAGGTCGTAGCCTTTGTAAGGAAGCATACTCTTTGTCTCGCAAGGCAACGGTTGGAGCATTGGTGAGGTGTTCACTCCGTCAGGAAGCGGCGTTTCTCGGGCATGTTTCACAATGCCCTCCGCGCAGCAGATCGCAAAAGCTAGGTCGCAAGTCGAGGCCGACTCGCATGAGGAACCTCTCAGGACAGATCTTGCCGGACAAGGCTGAATGTTGCTGCCGCTGCCGCAACTCAGCCATTGAGGCACTAGGTCGGGTGGGCGGTTGTGCTGCGATCCGTGGACGGTGCTGCCCCTAGCAAAAATCAAATCCGCCGCATGTTGGGTTTCCACGTGCTTTTTTGCAAACGATGTCTGACAAGCACAGTTTCACAGGTCTGGCATGCCACGCTACGAAGCCACAGAACCCGACACTTTTACATCGAAGCTTCTCAGATCTTCTCAGCAATCCGCGGACATATAGAGATGGACGCCAGACATCGATCTGCGAATTTTGCGCCGGTGGTCGTCTGTGAAGGAACAGGGTGCAGGACAGAGGCTGGAATTCCCCATCGTTCGGTAATGCTTCGATAGTGCATGATGGTGCTATACAGATACTACGCAGTGCTTTCCTTGTCTGCTCAGCAAGTCAGCCCTCAGTGCGAGCGAGCATTCACATGAGGCATGCCACAAGATGCACTCACTGGATCTTGGGCACTTTTTGCTGCCTCGCAGATCTAACTCACGAAGAACGGGACATCGCAAAGATGAACATGATGACCTTGGGACTTCCTTGGTGAAAGCTGTTGCGCAACAACTGTAGCATTCGGGTTTCATCCGTGGACATGCATCATCTCTTCCGTGGAGAACCTGTCAGTCCTTTTTGGGTTGCCGGTGTGCCACCATCATCTCTGATCCGGATAGCTTCTTCAGGTTCAATGTGTCAATGTCCTGTCTTTAGGGTTTGCCATCCGTCATCTTGAAAGTGTCGGGTTTCGGGGAACAGGAATCCAGCGCCTCAGGGGGTAAAACCAAAACTGTTGAGTTTGGTGTTTGGACA